ATTTTTAAGAGTTTTTGTCAAATGATTTATAATATAGTATAGATAATTAATAATTAAATGGTGTAAAGTTCAAAAGTGAGACAGTTTAGAAATTATTGTTGTGATTTATATTTGTTTTAAAAATGGCTTTTATTTACTAACACATTAAGGGGTTGTTTATTAAACACTCATCTGTTAGGTGTTTGCTGGGTAATTTTACCTTATTAAATGGAAATGACAAGAATTGAGAATTACCCAGTAAAGGATTTAGAGTCTTACCTGGTAAATTAGACTAATGACTTTACCTTGTAAGCATTTACCAAATAAAAATGTTGCATACGATGTTGTTTTAATGGACTAAATCTTATTTAATAAGTTAAATGAAAGTGTTGACTTTTACATGTAGGTGCTTACTGGATAAGCATTAAGTAAAAACGGTCTATAACTCTGTTAAAATTAAGAGGTGGATATTTTTGTCTTTTAATCAATTTTCTTAATTTCTTTTAAAAATTTAAAATATATATTATTTATGAATTATTTATTTATTAAGTTATATCATGTATATATGCATATATATCGTTCGTGTAAAGATATATGGGAACTCCATCACCAGCGTGAACTCCACCGTTGACGTGAACCCACTATCGCCTTCCTCCTATCACCATTCCACCACAAGCATCTTTCTCTGCCATCACAAATATACCTCATTCCTCCTTATCATTCTCTGTTAAAGATATCATTGTCTCCCTTAATTAATCAGTGTACCAAGCAGGTCAATTGGATTGGATAATCGATTGGATGGATTGGAGAAATTCAATCACCACATGGATCTTTCTATACAACACATATTTGAAGCCAAATATCCCCATCGTCTCTTTTTGTTAGGATTTTTATTGTAGCATCTATAATTTTCTAAATATTGGGCATTTCATAAATGTAGGAATCATCTTTGAATTCAGTGTCAATTTTGGGAAATAATCCTTGAAGCATGTTTGTTAAATATTGGGTGGTTTGGGTCGAAACAAGATTAGAAAAGGTTAAATCTGAGCTTTCGGGAGGTCTGGGCGACTTTCTGGGCGGTCTAAGCCGTGGGAAAGGCTTCCTAAGCTATTGTGTTGGGCCGGTTACTAATACAGCTCACGATTTATGTTAGATGACCGAGGCCACCTTTGAGGCCCCTTAGGTCGCACGGGCCGGAGTAGCGCGGATGGTTGATGGTGCATGGGGAAGGTCCAGTTGACTTTAGGCCAGGCTACCTAAGTTGCCTCGTAAGTGGCCCGAACGCCTGGTGCATCAAAACTCGACGGGATCAACTCATTTCTCCATTTTCTTTTCATAATTTTTCCTCCTCTCTAATTTTCTCTTCTTAGGGTCGATTGAGGGTTACATTTTGAAGTATTTTGGGAGCTTTTGAAGGAGATCTAACTTGAGGATTTTGAGATATTTCTTTGGGATCTTCATGTTCTTAAGAGGTAAGACTTTTGAGAGTTTTTGCATTAGATCTAGTGTTTTGTTATAAATATGATTTTAGGAGTCACTCTTGGTATATTCTAGGTCGTTTGTGACGTAGATAAAGTTCCTATTGACAGATGTTTGTGGATCTATATTCTTCATCAAATAAATCTCAAGATTGAGATAAAATCTAGATTTAACCTAAATCTAGCAAGGAGAGTTCAAGTTGTTTTATGAAAACTATGTACATACCAAAATGTGTATTTTGAAGTATGAATGTGTTTACTTTATATTTATCAAATGTGATGAGTTTCTGATGAAGTTTGCATATTTGGTAAATATGGATTAACAAATCTTGTAAGAATTATATTTGGGGTTTTGGATATTTTAATAAATAAAGCTCAAGAATTCATACCTTTGATGATTTACTGTACAAATGTGATTATTTGACTTAAATGCATTTTGGTGTAGTTGGTTTTATAAACCGTTTGGAAATTGCATGTTATTATGTCATGAGACATTTTGGAAGTATAAGATTACGATTTCATTTGGAAAATGGTTTGTCTCAACCAATGAGAGGTTTTTTGAGTCAATCATATCTCAGGAATATATGTTTACATAGACGTTGGCTAAATGTGTCTTATTCCTTTTGATGACTTTTATTAAATAATCAGTTATATTTTTGAGCTTCTGTCTCAGTTTTCACTCAAATGAATCTTGGGGACATTCGTCTGGTTTATGTTTCTCTATGTCAAGTCTTTTGAGTTATATGCAGTTATAACATATTTATTTGATATATATACACACACATTAAAGGGCTGTTTACCAAATTTTCTATTTAGTCTTGTATGGATAAATTTGTCTGTCTGGATAAATTTATGTTGTTTACTTTTCTATCTGAATAACAAAAATGACCAATTTACCCCTGAGGATTAACTATGGGTTGTTTAGTAAATTGTTCATTTTTTAAGACAAATGATATTTCTGAAAAATAAAATATTTAAATATCAAAACATAAATTTATAAATTCATTTATATCATCCAAAATTAAAACATAAATTCATAAAATACTTAAAAATCCAAATTCAAATCCAAGTTCAAACATTATTGCCCAAACTATTTGCAATTCCATCTCTCAAAGTAGTCATATATTGAATGCTATTAGCACCCCATTGGGAAATATCCAGTTCTTCTTCTCCATTTCCTTTGACTTATTTCTTCGTTGTTAGATATACTATCCTCATTGCACTCCATAAACAACTGGTCCTGAATATTATATTTTCTGATGAAATTATGTATCGCAAAGCAAACAATTACCACATTTCTCTGTGTTGTAAATGGAAAGGGAGCCATCTGCTTTAAGATCGGAAATCTCGCTTTCAAGACACCGTAAGTGCGTTCAATAACATTTCTGAGTTGGGCATGTGCATGATTAAACCTTTCTTCTTTAGTCAAAGCGCGTCGACGTCGAAAATCTGCCAACCAATACCTTGTGTTACGATATGGAGCCAAAAATCCACGAGCATTGGTGTACGCAACATCACAAAGATAATATTTATCTGAAAAACCACCAACATCAATCATATAATA